TTTTTTCTGCTTTTAGGCTTTGAACTTTGCTTTCAAAGATCAAATCAAATTAATGTTTAAACAAAAAAAAACTGATCCTTATATGGTCAATTTTGGTAAAAATATCGCAAGTGGTGGTGTAGCCGGTGCAATGTCATTGTGTTTTGTCTATTCACTTGATTATGCCCGTACACGTTTAGCCAATGATGTTAAAAGTACAAAGAAAGGTGGCGGTGAACGTCAATACAAGGGTCTTGTCGATGTCTACAAGAAAACCTTGGCTACTGATGGTATTGCTGGTCTCTATCGTGGTTTCGTTATTTCATGTGTTGGTATTGTCATTTATCGTGGTTGTTACTTCGGCTTTTATGATACATTGAAACCAATTTTACTTGGTCCCGATGCTGGTATCATGCTTTCATTTTTACTCGGTTATGGTGTAACAGTTACATCTGGTCTTATCTCATATCCAGTTGATACAATTCGACGACGTATGATGATGACATCAGGTCAAGCTGTTAAATATAAAGGATCAATGGATTGTATGTTCCAAATTATCCGTAGTGAAGGTATGGCTTCATTATTCAAAGGAGCCGGTGCCAATATTCTCAGAGGTATTGCCGGTGCTGGTGTTTTGTCTGGTTTCGACAAACTCGTACAAGTCTATGCCGGTGTCAAAGTTGATACAAGCGGTGGTTAATATATCTCCATCTAGATGAAAATATTACATGCAAAGTCGTCTCAAACTGACTATCCTCCACTTTTCATCAACCTTTTTCTTACTACTATTTTATTTTCTCGCCTATAGCGAAAAAGAACGTAGATTCCTTTTTCTTCTTCTTCTTTTACGTTTATTTTGATCTAGCAAAATTTTTGTTTTACTTTCTCTGTCTCACCAAATGTAGCAGCAGTAAATGCCTGTGTTCATGTGAATGCGTTTTATTTTTTATTTATAACATCATAAAGAAAAACGAAAAAAACAACAACATTGCATTCAGTAAAATGATTCATGTCAAGTTTTTTTTTAAGTGCTTTATATCCCTAGAATAAAGAAGTAATTGACTATGTGCTAGATTATATACGTTTTTTACTTTTTAGAATAAACAAACATATATGTTGAATTTTAAATAATGAAATTTTATATTAAAATGTTTGTTAAGTAATGTCCATCGATAAACAAAATATTTTACATGATTTATATTTAAAAGAATCACATTATTCATCAGCTTATTCAACACCACTCATGTTTTCACGTGATTCTTCCATGGAAACATTATCAAGTTTTAATGTTAATTTTCATTCACATAATTCAACATATACATCAGAACATAGTACAAATCCATCTGGAATTTTATCGCCGAGTGATATACCTGATTCTCCACCACGTGGTTGTGATGATGATATTGATACACCTCAACAACAACGAATATCAATACAACCTTTGAATAATACTCGTTCAACTGGTATCACAGTTATTGAACGAACAGATAATTATATATATGATGATAATGATAATGATATTGATAGTATAAGAAATTATGCTACATCTCCACTTCGAATTTCTTATGATGGTGATGATGATGATG